ACCTACATGGGTGGGCCAGGTCTGTGATCCCTCCTTAGGAATGTCTCCTCTACACACACACACACACACACACACACACCCTACTGTGTAGGCCTCCTCATCGCTGCCCAAGGAGGCTGTTCCAGCACCTCTGGGGTCCTGCTACAGGACCACCCTCAACCGACCCCATAGCCCCAGAACCCCAGCCACCACCAAGGGGTCATCTGAAAAAAGGGGCAGGACATTTATTCACCATTTATTCGCCATCGCGTTAGTCAATCACCTTCTCTCTGCCAATGAGAGGAGGGCCGTCTGGGAGCTTCCAGAAGCGGCCAGCTTGGGGACGGTGCTGGGTAAGGAGGGTACAGGCACACGAATTTAGTAAACACCAGCTGTGGACAGGTCCACTCTCTCTAATCCTCCCAACAACCCAGGGGGAAGGTTATATTATGTCCACTTTACAGATGGAGAAAGTGAGCCTCTTCGAGGTTAAGGCACTGACTTAACTTGCATCTGAACCTGGGTCTACCCTTACTCTGACCCCAGGCGCTAAGTAAACACCAGCAGATGAACTGCCCTGGAGACAGAGCTGGGGCCATTTCCCAGATCCCCTTGGGACAGCCTTGCCAATGAGCCCTTCCTTGCTGCCCTCAGGGTTCACAGTTGGCCTATGCCAACCCCTGGGTGGGACGATGCTTTTGCCTTCCAGTCTCCATCTCCCCTCTCTCCACTTTCACTAGCAAATGAGCAAGAAAAATAGAATTACAGTTTGGCTACAGAAGACACAGAATTAGCAGGATTAAACAAAAATAGCTATTAAAAGTGCCTTATAATTAAATTCATTCTCCAGTTATTTGTTTTACACACACACACTCGCCCACACATGTGCACACACGCACGAGCTCCCATCCTCAGCTCCACACAGAGTGGGTGTCAGGGCCCCAGCTGCCAACCAGCCTCCTTCCTGCTGACGCCTGTTCTTCAGAGTGAGTTCCGGTGCCTGCGTTTCTCCGCCTCTCTCCCCCTCCTTGGCCCCGCTGCTTCCGGCCCATTCGCCCAGCCCTTCCCAAAAGAACAGAAACGTCCACTGCTGCTGTCACCATGCACGGAGCCCACTGTGAGCCAGACACTGACACCATCACCTCCTTTATTCCACCAGAGATGTTTTTTTCATTCAATAAATATTTGTTGACATGCACGGTCTCATTTAATCCACGCAATGACACTCATTCCTCCACGAAACAAGTATTAGTTGAACACCCCCTACAGGCCAGGGCCCAGTAAGCGCCAGCCATGCTTCAGCCAACCTGCCCCAAGCCTCTCCCATTGTGGAGCCCACCCAGAGAAGGAAGCCTGGAGCTGGAGCCCAGGCCAGGCGATGGGAAAGCAGCAGATGCCACTTGTCAGGCCAGAAGGAGGTCAGGTGGGACAGGGGTGTGTTAGGGAGATTCTTCCCACTGTAAGTTCCTCCAGGGCCTGAGCGTGTCCCACCCTCTCTCTGTGTGCAGGGGAAGAGGCAGGGCACCCAGTGGCCAAGTCATTCGTGATGGTCAGCACACTGACCTCAGTAGGCTGCTGTGAGCCCCGGCTTTGCCACTTCTCATGCTATGCCCTCGAGAGGCCCCTTGCCCCCTCAGGCCTCAACTTACTTGTCTGTAAAATGGGAGTAAACCTAACCCTATCTACGTGAAGTACAGGACTGAACACATGTAGAGCACTCTGAACTGTGCCTGGCACACAGGACGTGTTCGGTGCAGGTTAGCTGCTCTATGGTTACCATTATTGCTACGACTACTACTGTTGCCATTACCCACCTCACCTGGGGAGTCAGTGAGTCATGGATATGAGAGAACTTAGGAAAAGCCTCAAAGAAATGGGAAGGATTACAAGACCTGTTATAAAGAGGTGGGGGTGCCCTTGGAGGAGCACAGTGAAAGTCTGTGGGAAGGGGGTCACATAGGGAAGGAATACCTCCAGCTGGTCCCTGGAGGGCTTCCTGGAGGAGGGGACAGGGCTTCAAGCCTCTCCGCCCCAGCTCGCTCTCCTCTGCTCACTTGGCCTGATCTTCAGCCCCTTCTCGTGGGGCCTTGGGAAACCCCAACCCCAGAGCCTGAACTATAAGGGAAAGGGAATCAAATTTGACTTTGACTCCAGCAATTCGACTGGCCCCACTGTCTTCTGGGCCCTGGGAGAGGTGGGAGAGGAAGACTCCGTCCTTCTAAGGGGTCAGATGCTGGGAGGCAGGGCACATGTACCCAACATGAACACGGTCGGAGACAACACCAGAGTAAGGGCATGGCCCAAGCAGTGAATTATGGGGCCATCATCATTTCCGAAGTCCCCGCTGGGCGTCAAGCACTCTCTACTCCATTATGTCACTCAAGCTGAACAGCTTCCTTCACACACGCCGGTGTAACCATGGCCCCATTCTGCAGCAGGGTGAAATCCAGAGAGGTCAGCAGTGACTTGCCCAAGGTTGCAAGACCTTGCAAATGGCAGAGCTGGGGACAAAAGTCAGATCTCTAACCCAAGGCCTTTCCTTGCCCCATGCTAACCCCAAACCAGGAAAGCCCTACTGCAGGACGCAGGGCCAAGGAGACAGCATTCCTGGGAAACTTCCTGTGGGCCCTGCCTGCCAGCTCCTCTCGTCCTCCCACTGCTGCCCTTGAGGTAAGCTGGCACCCCTCTGGCTCCCCAAAGAGCCCCCACACTCAGCCAGCCCCAGGAGCCCATTAGGAAAGACTTTTTTGTTCTCAAGGTAGGCAGCTGAGCTAATTAGCAGACTCCATCTTTCCCTCAGCAAGGACATTACTTCATTATCCGAAGCCAAACACAGCCCCATGGTGTCCAGTGAACCAGCTCAGGCAGCTGCCAAAAGCAGTGCAAATCGATGGGCAGCAAGAGGCCTGCTCTGGCCCGGCCTCCCCGCAGGTCTTTGGGGCTCTGTCCCATCTTCCTGACAAACACTGGGGGAGAGAAAGGAGCCGTGTTGGATGGAAAAGGTTACAGGCTGAGCAGTATGGCACAAAGGAGCCAGAGACAACCCACACCTATTGTCACTTCCAGATGAAATCAGCCAACCCCAGGTAAAGGAGAGAGGGAAGGGGAGGTGGGGGTGGGATTCTGGTAGCAGGCCAGGCTAGCACTGGAGAGCTGAGCCGTGGTGATGGACAGCCTTCCCTCATGCCCACAGGACACAGCCTAGCCCCTCTGCAGGGGCACCACCTACCTTCCCAGGCTCGGTCATGGCCAGCTGCCCTAAGCCAATTGGATGGGCTTCTCGCCACTCCCCACGTACAGGTGGCCTCATGCCAGCCTCCTCTTCAGTGACCGGGCTTTTTCTTCCTCCTTGCTGTCTCTCCAGGCTTAGTGCCACCTCTTTCAAGGGGCCTCCCTGACTGTTCCATCCTGAGAGACCTGCCCTGCCTCATGTCTCTGGAGCACTCCCCATGGTCCCCGCCCAATCAAGCACATGGTCCTGTAGTGACTGCCATGCCGAGCTCCTGTGGTTGTGGCTGTTGATTTGTGGGTCTTGTTGTAGCAAGAACAGATATCTGGCTGTCTCCATTTCTCCTCTGTCATTGAGTATAGAAATAGGCACACAGGAGGTGCTTGATACGTGTAACAGCCCTGGAAGATCTTCGAAAGCCTCTGTGCTCTGCAATGGGGAACTCCCTGGCCGGGGGCCAGGTTGTAGTCGGCCCCAAAGCTAAGCTTACATGAACTCTTGAATAAGTCGCTGGCATTCTCTTGACCTTCGTGTCCCATCTGACCATGTGGGGCTTGAGTCAGAACCACCTCAGGCTGTGTTCAGCGGGGAGGAGACTGACCTAGGCTGAGCCAGGTGCTGAATCTTAGGACTGACCCTCTCTGAGGCTGGTGGGCACAAAAGATGAACTAAGCCATGGAGACAGAGGACTGGAAGCTGGGGGAGGAAAGGGCGGTACGGCTGAGACGGTTTACCTGCATTGCTGGTCTGGGCACTGCCAGGGGCTGTTGGCATGGGGGCCACGTGCTCAGGCTGGTGGAGAAGGCTCAGCCTCAGCCACTGGGGGACCAGTAGTCTGGCCAAGGCCCCAGGGCCACACTGAGAACATGGTCTGGTGGAGGTGGGGACTGGAAGCACATGCACACACCTATGTCTATGTAAAGAATGTGTGGCTGAGCCTCAGGCATCATTTCCCAGCCCAGAGTACCTCCCAGGCATGAGCAACCTTGATTCGACCCACACCTGAGGAGGCACAGGGACCCCTTATGGACCCATGTAAAAGAGAAGGAAAGGAAGACTCAGTCCCTGGATCTTTCTCACTTCCATAGTGTGAGAAGCTACTGCCTAATCCCCAACTTCTCCAAACTGCCAGGTGCTTGTCTTCACGAGAGATGAGACAAAGAAGCCATTTGCTGTGGAGGAGAAGGCAACAGGCCCAGAGCTGGGAGAGAAAGTGGAAGCAGGGAGGGATGGGGGGAAGGAGGGAGGGAGGGAAAGGAGGACAAAAGGGGGAAAGGAAGACAGATTCCACTGCTGCTGAGGAGCAGACCTTGGCAGGGCCCTGTGCTGGCCCAGTCACTGTCCACTTCTGGATAATTTCTCCAGCAGAAACCATAATTATAGGTAATAACAATCACTCTGATTTGCAAGGACTGCACACCTCCCAGCCTGAAATCTCCAAGTGGTTTGCCAACATTAATTAATTCATTAGGCGCGCCCGCCTCCCCGGGACGGGGCTGCACGGTGCTCTGCCCAGCATGGCGGAGCTGGCTCCAGGGCACTCGAAGGAGCAGTCCCCCAGCATGGCGCCTGTTGCGCGTCCTGGAGGAGAGGCTTTGAGGAAGAAGAGCCTGCAGGGGGGCCCCTCTGGCTCAGGACCCGCCTGAGGCTGACCCCTCAGAGGTCAGGGCCACCCTCTCTGTGCCCCTAGGAGAGGGCCAGACCAAGGGCTCAGGCACAGAGATGGCCAAGCCCCAACTCTGCCCTCAGCCACTGGGGACCTTGGGAAATTCACAACTTCCAGTTTCTTCACCTGTGAAGAGGGGCCTGTGGTCTCCAGCTCCCAAGGTGGTTGTAAGCTCAAGGCAGGCAGGACAGGCGGGAAGCATTCAGGATGGGCCAGGGCTGTGCACAAGAAGGGTGTCACTTCTCCCTCTGCCAGCCAGACCTGTGGGAAAGGAGACCCAACAGCCACAGACGGATATACAGCCTTTCCCTCCGTGCCAGGACCCTTCAGAAGCACGGAGAGGCCCATCCCCCGGAAGGCTCTCAGTGCTGCCCCCACTGCCCACCCCAGGCCTGGTCCCACGGAGGGGTCTGACCTGAGGGGAGGAGGAGACTCCATGAAGGCCAGGCTCAGAATCAGGGCCCAGAGGGAACTCTGGGGTCGGCGGGCTTTAGCCCCAAAGCAAGGCACTCCCTCCCTGGGCCTTCATTTCCTTATCCGGAAACAGGAACAGTAATACCATTGACTAACAGTGCTGCCTACACTGTAGGGGCTCCACAATGGAGCTGTTATCACTATCTCTGCTAGAGTTATACTTTCCATTTAACACCTTCCCCACGGTAACATGAAAAGCTCCATAGCTGGACCCCGGTTTCATGTCACACATGCGCACTGAGCATCTACTGTGTGCCACGCATGCCGCTGCCACCTCTTCAGCTCCACTCCTCTGTAAATACCTCGTGCCCAGCAGGACGGCCTCCTCCCTCTCTCCTCCGCCCTCCTGCTTCCTTCCTGATGCCAGACACGTGCCCTTGATGTTTCCTCCACCTAGACTGCTCTGCAAAGCTAAATTCCCTTTCAATCTGCCAAGGCCTACTCCAGCCCTGTCTCCTCCAGGGAGCCTTCTCTAATTGTCCTGGTGTGCTTTAACCCTTTACTGCTCCCAAGGTCCTCATCCTGGGGGCTTCTCCAGGGCTAGGTCTAGGTCTCCTCGTTCTGGCTCCAAGACTGGCCAAGCAAGGCTGGCAGGAGCGTTCTGGGCCACGCAGGGCCAGGGCTGGGGAGGCAGAGCCTCAGCCACAAGGAACATGCAGAAGAGCCTCGGGAGACCCAGGAGGCCCCACCCAAATGAGCCCCTTCTCCCCAGAAGGGCCCTGATCTCTGCGTAGAGATCTCCCTGTGTGGTGACGACCCCCACACACTCGCACTGTTGTGTTGCCCACAGTCTCACTGGGGTCCTAGAAGAACACGGGGCCCAAGGGGCTCAGAAACTTTGACACGCACGCTCACAAAACAGTCACAAACACACGGCACTAGCACACAATGACAGTCACGCACGCATTCTCACACAACCACATAAAATACACAGTGACACAGAGTTACAAAACACATACACTGACACAGTGACAACCACCCACACACCCACACCCACACACTCACCCACACCCATACATACACACATCTACCCACACCCACACACTAACACCCACACACACCCACACAAACCCACACCGGTCCACACCCACACACACCTACACCCACACAAACACACACACATCCACGTGCATGCGCACGCACACACACACGAACCCACACACACCCACAAACCCACACACACACAAGCCCACACACACATGCACCTCCACTCCCTCACCCACACTCAACCACACCCATAGACACACACACACACACAAACCCACACACCCCTCCACACACACACACACAAACCCATACACCCCTATACACACACACACAAACCCACACACCCCTCCACACATAAACACATGCACACACAAACCCACACGCCCCTCCACACACACACACACACACACACAAACCCACACACCCCTCCACATATAAACACATGCACACACAAACCCACACCCACAACCACACCCACCCACACACCCCACACACATAAACACACACACACACACACACAGCCACACACACCTATACACCAACACCCACACACACCCACACACCTCTCCACACACACACACACACGTTCACACACGTGCGCGCGCACACACACACACACACAAACACCATGAAGGAAAGGCCCAGCCAACGTGGTGGCCCAGGGTCAGCACCCTGGTTGGTGAGGCATGAACTATTTCCCTCCATCTGGGCACCTAACCTTCCGGCTTCCCCTGAATCTTCTGCACATTTTCTCCATATTTTTAAGCATACTTATGTCAACTCACTAACTTGAAAGATAGGTGCAAAAGTGCCACTTTGAAGGAATGACCCTACACGCCCCTATTCCCACCTACATGTCCTCCTGCTAGGGAGAGCACTGGATACCTCCGTGTGTGCACACAAACCCAGCACTCCACTGCCCTTGCACACTCATCCAGTGCACACACGCAGCCCTCAGGGATACTACAGAGCCCAGACTTGGGGAACGGCCCCACCTCTGCTGTGCAAGTCTCCCCATCCATACAAGAACCCCTACAGCCTGGGGGGTGGGAGGGAACCCAAGCCTGGGGAGGAGTCCCACCATCCTTGGATAAGATTAGATGCTCAGAGCCCTGCTGCCTCCCTCTTTGGCCAAGCCACCCCTATCTCCCTCCCCCACAATGTCCGTGTCTCAGGGTCACCTCCTCCAGGAAGTCTCCCTGGTTCCCAGGAATTGTCTTGGTTTCATGTTTGAGACTATGTCTTTGACAAGGGTCTTCTTGGGCAGTCCCTCTAGGAGTCCTGACTCTGGTCTGAAGGACAGGAGGTTCAGGCCCCCAGAACAAGAACAACTGGGTGATGGTGGGACTGCTCTCCAGGCTTGGGTTCCGGCACCACTCTCCCAGGCTGGCCTCATCAGGCACTGACAACGCACAGGGGTTCACTCTAGGGGAGAGGGGTCCAGTCAGCCAGACCAAAACTGAGGTGGGGTGGGAGCACCACACAGGTTGAGGCTGGGCCCCCATAGGCCTTATGGGGGTCACTCTCCATCTTTGTGCCTCAGTTTCCTCATTGGTCAATGGGAATGCTGTGAAGAGCAAGTCAAAGTGCTTTTGATCTAAAAATGCCATGTAGGTGTTAGGGTCTCATGGTGATTTCCTACAGGGTGTTCTCAGAGAGGTCTTCTCTTCCCCCAAAAATAGAGTCCTCAGTGGACCCTGAGCTGCACAGATGTCACTTTAAGTCCCCAGAGGAGAGGACAGAGTGTGTGGAGAAGGTAAAGTTTGCCCTAAGGGACAGATAGAAGGATAAAGAGGAAAAGAAAGGCAGCCACAGGCATCCTGTGAGCAAGGGCTGGCTTGAATTGCCCAGAACCAGAAGCTCCGCCCCCAGCTCTGGCTCAGACGCAGAGCACAGGCCCCCCCCCCCCTGCTAAGGAGCCTAACCTCCAGCTCATTAGCCAAGATCTGCCCATTAATCACCACGGGCCACCTCTCCCTGCCCGAGCTCTGTCGGGCCATAATAATATATGAAGAACATTCATTTATTCACAAACTTCCCACTCAGGAAAAGATATACGATGCTGTAGGCATGGATTTATCCTGACATCCAGCTTTCCTCAAAGTGGGCTAATTTAAACATTTAAGTCAATGGCTCGCTCCTACCTGTGACTCCCAATTTTTTTTAATGGTAGTAAGGCAAAAGGGGAGGGAACTTAACTGTACAGGTTTGCTCAGTCTGAGGGTCAGAGGCAATGGAGAGGAAAAGGAACCCTGACAGGGTTTTCTTCTGGCTTCTACCCCATCATCCGGCCTGGCCCCTGCTCTGAAATAAAAGCAATGCAACAGGTGGGTGCAGAAGAGCGAGCCCTGGACTAGGAGGAAGGTGTTGCCTTGCTGCTCACTGCACCCCAACAAGTCCCTCCAGTCTCCAGCTTCCATCTCCTTGTCTGTAGAGCAGAGGGTAGGGCAAACTAGACACGACCCAAGTCCCCGCCAGCTCCTGGAGCTGGGTTCTTCTGTCCTCCTCTGGGAATCTCCTCACCACTGTGGTCCATGCAGGTGTTCTAGGGAGATGGGGGAGAAGCAGGGCTGGGCCCTGCCGTGAGTACCCTCCCAAAACAGCCACCTGCGAAGGCGCGATGGCTGCCCTCGGAGGAGTTCAGAGCAGGCTGAGCAGTCACGGTGTGTGTGCTTCACAAAGGAGGCAAGGCCCAAGTTCAGGCCAGCGGAGAAGCCAAGCCTCGAGCTCTTTACGAGCACAGCCTCTGGAGCTAAATGCCTGGACTCAAATCCCTGCTTTCCCACTTACTCTGTGGACTCAGCAGTTTGCTTCCCCTCTCTGTGCCTGTTTCCGCATCTAAAATATGGCTATTAAAAAAAAATGTGTATTTCACAATAAAAAATATTTTTTTAAAAAATGGCTATCACAGTACCTACCCTAGAGGGCTCTTGGGAGGACCAGATGGGGCCACCATCCTTGCAAAGCCCCTGGTACCACACTTGGCACAGAAAAAGTACTTAGGCAATGCCAGTATGACCATCATCAGGGATGGCCAGAGGAAGAGGAGGGGAATGCCCAAGTGAGGCTGGTCTGACCCAAGGCTCCCCACTACTCATCCCTACCTCAGCCCTGGTCTGTCTGTCTGAGGAGTCCCAGGGTGGGGTACAATCTGCTCAGTCATAGGGAGCCCATGAGGCCCTGACCGTGGCAGCAAGACCAACCGGACCACCCTCCAGATAAAACCAGGGCTTTCTCTGAAGTCCTAGAAAGCACATGACAGCAAGGAGGTAAGGAGCTGGCACCCGGGGAAGCGTGTGGCCTATATAAATGAAATGTCCACACACAAGCACAGACTCACACACCACCTTTCCCACACTTCCCCTCCCTTCACAGGCCTCTGAGCTGAAGTTACAAGCCCACAGCTGCCTCCAGCACCCTTGGACCCAAGACTGGGGTGGTGTGGAGGAAAGGTACAGACTGGAAGGGCCCTGCCCAGATCGAGGGCTGGATGGCAGCTGGGAAGACAGACAGGAACCTGAGCACCCAGGGGGCCCTGGGCAGCAGCTATAGCCAAATTACTCTCAGAACTTATTTCCTGCCCTGGAAAAATGGAGATAATTACATCAACTTCACTCCATGGTTGTAAAGATTAAGTGAGGCTGTATGTGGAAACGCCAAGCCCAGTGCCTGGCACACAGTAGGTGCTCAACAAGCATCCTTGGATGCCCCTCCTCTAATTTCAGAGGTGTAGGTTCATCTCACACCCAACTAGAACAGGAGACCCCACCAGCCAGTGGCGACCGGGGCTGGCGACCGGG